AGTAGGCGGCTGCAGTGAGGGGAGGAGTGAAATAAGCGCAGTCAAGACGGACAGTTCTGACCTCTCGAAGTGGAGCAGATACCAACAGATCAAAGGCAGATATCGCCTTATTCACACTCACGTGCTGTGTTGCTAATAAACATGATATAATTTCAGTTCTGTTGCTTTTATATGAAAATAAATATGATGAACAAGACACTCAAAGTGCTTGCTATTTAATTCCATACGAAAGGTGTATTTATCATCCATTTTTACTTTAATACAAACATGTATTTTAGATCTCAAACAAGCCTTCGGACACTTTTCTAACCGGCATGCATCTCGCGGTGATCACCTCAAACGAGCCTAATACTAGCGCAAACGAGGGACTAATGACTTGATAAATCGAACACAGGTGAACTGAATGACATAATCAGGGCAACTAATGAAAACTAGGTCAAAGGAACAAGAAAACCACAGACATGTAACAGTGTTGTCCTGGTCACTTATACACACTTGATATCAAGTAAAGCATAAAAGCAGGGCTCTTTCTGGAACTCCACAAAGTCTTCTTCTGAGATTCTGACGGCAACGATCTGAAAACCAAGGTGAGTTTTTGATACAGAGACCTACTGAATAACTTAGTGTTTAAAACACATTGAGAATACAACGTGTGCAGTATATGAGTGCAGACAATTCACTTTTGCTTCTTATTTTTCAAGTTCATGGCGATGCTGAGAAGTCTGCTGGTTCTTTTCATCGTGTTCTCCATGGGAAATGCAGATGGTAAACAAGACATTTATTTGTGTAAACCCTCATTATTCAACTTTAAAAGCTTGTTCTGCCAAAACTGTGGTGTTCAGAAATATACAATATTTTGACTAGTATTTGCATAATACGAGTAATAATGTGAATATTACAAGACTAACATATGAAGGCCTACTGGATACAGTTGTTCGAAATAAAAAATGCCACTATGGATGGACAAATTTTGGAGTCCGATGCTACAAGTTCTTCTCTCAGTCGGCTGACTGGATCACAGCAGAGGTAAAGTGTTAGTTACAACAAGGCAATTTTATTATTTTTAAAGAAACTTCCTTTAATTTTCCTTTTTAGAAAACTATACTGTGCAACTAATCAGAGCAGATTTTGTTTGAAAATGACTAAATACATTTTTTGGTAAAGCTGTTTTTTTTGTTTTTTTTTAATTGTGTCTTTAGAGGCACTGTATAGATCACCATGCAAATCTCGCATCTGTGCATGATGAACTGGAAAACCGTTTTCTGAGGAGTCTGTTGCCTTCTACTACACGATGTTGGCTTGGTGTTCATGATGGAGTACAGGTAAGTAGTTGTGTGGCCTAAAGAGACTTTTTGTTGAGAGCGACGTTACAAATGAAGATGGTTTAACTTCAAAGCCAAACTAAATGATGTTCTTTATGGTGTCGGAGTACAGAAGAGTGCGCTTTTAATCACTGTCTTTGCTCTTTAGGAAGGACAGTGGTTGT